AACTCTACAGAACAATTTTTAGCTGGGAGAGTTAGGATGTAAGTTCTCCAACTGCAAACACAGAAGAAGGAGTTCAGTCCCTGGAGAGAAGTTCTTGAAACGTGGCTACCCTAGTTCTTGCAAAAGATGCCTTGGGAAAGCTGGCCAGCACCTTGGCTTTCATTTTCACACGAAGGACAGCAGCAAAGCACTCTATAGTCATTCTGGGGGCACTGATTTAGGCTTGACTAAGGGTACCACCTCTTAAGAACATAAGAATGGCCATACTGGGTCAGACTAATGGTCCATCCAGCCCGGTATCCTGTCTGTTGACAGTGGCCAATACCAGATGCCTCAGAGGGAGGGGACACAACAGGTAATCCTCACGTGATTCCTCCCCTGTCACCCACCTCTGGAGAAACAGAGGCTAGGGACACCATTCCTACCCATCCTGGCTAATAGCCATTAATAGACCCAATCTCCATTAATCTATCGAGCACTTTTTTGAACCCTGTTGAAGTCCTAGCCTTCACCGCATCCTCTGGCAAGATGTTCCACAGATTGACTGTGCGCTGAGCGAAGAAAAACTCCCTTCTGTTTGTTTTAAACCTACTGCCTATTAATTTCATTTGGTGACCCCTAGTTCTTATATTGTGGGAATATGTAAATAACTTTTCCTTATTCACTTTTTCCACACCAGTCATGATTTTATAGACCTCTATCATATCCCCCCTTAGTCTCTTTTCTAAGCTGAAAAGTCCAAGTCTTTTTAATCTTTCTTCATATTGGATCCGTTCCAAACCCCTAATCATTTTGTTGCCCTTTTCTGAACCTTTCCCAGTGCCAATATATCTTTTTTGAGATGAGGCGACCACATTTGTACGGAGTATTTAAGATGCGGGCGTACCATGGTTTTAGATAGAGGCAATAAGATATTTTCTGTCTTATTCTTTCTCCCTTTTTTAATTATTCCTAACATTCTATTTGCTTTTTTGACTGCTGCTGCACACCGAGTGGATGTTTTCAGAGAACTATCCACAATGACTCCAAGATCTCTCTCTTGAGTAGTTGTAGCTAAATTAGTCCCCATTATATTGTACATATAGTTGGGATTATTTTTCCCAATGTGCATTACTTTACATTTATCAACATTACATTTCATTTGCCATTTTGTTACCCAATCACTTAGTTTGGTGAGATCTTTTTGAAGCTTTTCACAGTCTGCTTTGGTCTTAACTATCTTGAGCCGTTTGGTGTCATCTGCAAATTTTTCCTCCTCACTGTTTACCCCTTTCTCTAGATCATTTATAAGTGATCTCTTGAATCACAATTCTCGCTTGCTGCAACACTTCTGCAATCTCCCTGTCCAAATTCTGACCAGGCCTGACTCTATTTATCATGTAAGAGCTAACTACAGAAAGAGACCAAGAGAGCTAGCTTATATTGCTGTACTTGCTCTGGAAGGACTAATCCTCAGATCTGTCAGGCTGGCCTCTTTCAACAGCACAAACATTTCCACACACTCAAAACCCAAGGGAGCTTTATTCCTAGAGGAGTCATTTTTGAAGCTAACACAAGAGTCCTATTTGCCTGTGACTTTTCTTCCTTCATGAAGTGCCCTCTGTTTGTTCAGGCTTCAAGTGTGTTAGGTATACTAGCTTGGTCTTGGGTATTAGTAATCCTCAAATCTTCCCTGCTCTGATGAAAGAAATTGCAGTTTTTAAGAATAAAGTGTTTAGAAACAGAGAAAGGAACCAAAATTCTATCTTCTGAGGCAGACCTGCAACAAAACAACCAGGGAAGTGGGCAGCATTGTTTATAGCTTAGTTCAATGTGATCCTTTGGAGACTTGAGTAGTTGTACCAGCTATTTAACAATGCACAGCAACTCTCACGAAGGTTTAGGACAGAAGAGTAAAAATGCATCAAACCCTGGGGGTGGAGATGAACCCTCCCCCTAAAAAGCAATTGAGCAACCTTGCCTCCTGGCCCTGGAGGATTGTCCAGCCTGAGAGAGTTAAAGTGGAACAAGATTGAAAGTAATAAACTGAGTATCTGTTGCACTGGCTTCTGTCTCCCACTGTGTGTCAACCTTAGGGTTTGTTTACTTCCGTAAGAAAAGCAGAAGCTATCATATGATTGCTCTCTATAAATACACTGGGGGGTAAACACTAGGGAAGAAGAAAAGCTATTTAAGAGGAAGAACAATGTTGGCACAAGAACGACTGGCCATGAGTAAACTTAGGCTGGAAATTAGAAGCTTACTAACCGTCGGAGGAGTGAGGTCCTGGAGCAGCCTCTCGATAGGTGCATCCAGAGCAAACAACCACAACAGGTTTTATGATGGCATTTGATATTGATACATTTATATAATGTGGTTGCCTGTTAAAGCAGGAGACTGGACTCGATGATCAGGAAGGGTCCCTCCTGTCTTAA